TATATATATATATATATATATATATATATATATATATATATATGTTGAAAAAACTTATATTTATTTGCCAACAAAGAAACTATGATCTCTTTTCTTACATTTGCATTTTTTTTTGCGCCAATTTTTTCAACTCATTTCTTACTTATTTGGTTTGCTGATAAATATGACATTGGTCATTAGGTGCTTGCTTATGCAATGCATATACAACGACTGAACAATCACACTAAAAAATTATCATTAATTGGTAGTAAAATAGTAATTAAAACCGAAATCATAATAGCGCTTATAGTGTAAGTATAATCATAAGGCATTAATACTATTGATAAAAATAAATAAGCCAAACTTCAGTAATTATCATTTACAAACAATCACTATGCTAAACAATAGAAAAATTTCTTTTCACTTGGTTATTATTGTTCATTATTTGTTAATTACTTATCATTATGCAACATTTAAAAGATATAATAAGGAAAATTAGAAAAATACTTTATAAAAGTAATATTCAGCAGTTAAAATTATCAACATCACTATTCATCTATTCATGATGACCGTTTCACATAAACATTAATTATCACTTCATAAGTATGAAGCAAATAACAATTAAGGGACGGTTCACTTTCCCTCCACTGCTTTAATTTTTTTTACAACTGCAAAATAAAACATAAATCTTTTTTGACCCGAAAATTTTTAATATTTTGTTTTATTTTACTAATTTACTCAGTATTATATTAATTCATTCGCAGCACTAAAACTTTCAAAAGTTTATTCAACTCAAACAAATTCATCTTTGAGCAAACACTTCACAGCCGATTCACATATTTTGAATTTTATGATAAACTTGCAATTTTGGAAAAAAACTTACTTCACATTAAGTTATCATATATAAGTAAAGACTTGTTTGATAAATAATAATGATAATTGATGCACAGATGCCATGCATAATTTTGATGTATTCACATCATATAGTCAGATAGTTGAAAAAATAGTAATCTTTTTATTATCGAAATTGAAATCAAAAATTTAATTGATTTAAGTTGAAATTTCATTTTTTTTAATATTCAAATACTGCTCGCTTTTTTCCTTCACATACGATTTTTTTTTTCAGGAAATAACAGTCACACAAGAATCAAAGATGAAAAAAATAATAATTTTGTAATTAAATACAAAAATTTCTTTTTTCTAACTCTAAACTAATTATGTCATTAAAAAAAGAATCTGAATAAATTTTTAATCCTGCAAAAAAAATTTTTTTGAATGGATGCATTGTACTGGTTATAGCACTTTTCACATGAATCAATTTTGCATAAAAAGTTGCATAAAACAAACGAAGTACTTTTTTAGTAGTTTGTATTTTTTGACACGCATTTAATTGAAAGTCATTTTTAATCCTGCAAATTTCTTCAACTATTTTTGAAATTCTAGTTTAATTTTATTTGAGTTGAATAACCTTTCATTTAAAAGTCGATTATTATTTTTGTGTGACTTTGCATTCTTCTCTTAAGATTAAACTAGAATTCCGCAATATTCATATAATTGCTCAATGTTTTTCTTGATGACAAATTTAATTGTTTTCATGAAGAAAATATTTTAATAAGAAATGCGTGTAATTTTTTAGTTGAAAAAATTTTGAATTAATAACATTAACGATTTTGAAATTTAAAAAATTGTATTACTTTTTTGAGAATAATTGAGAAGCTTCAGATAAAAAAGAAGGAAAAAAACTAAGCATCTGATGCTTATAAAACATTTCTAATAAGCTTTCATTTTGTTATAAGATCCTTATGGATAAAGGGCTTACAATGAATGTAAATCCATGCACTTAGTTGCTTATTTTAGTTTTCAAAACCTTAAGACTCTCAATATATATAAATATATATATGTATAGTTAATTGTTCATTTATTCATTATTAATGACAAAATTTAGAATTTGTTCATTTATTTATAATTATATATTTCTTAAGGGAGTTGAATAAATGACAAATTTAGAATAATTAGCATGTTAGAAAATAACGAGCAAAAGTATGTAGTACTTTGAAAATATCAGTTTATGCTAATTAGTTTACTATTACAATGCATGCAATAAGTTTTTGATTCAATTTTACAGGTAACTTTTGTACTTGCGATCAGATATAAAAAATAATAATCATATCGATGGTGTCAGCATCATTTTGAAGTAAATTTAAACACAAAATTATTTTTTGAAAGTTAAAAAATATTACATACCTGCAGTAATATCCTTCTTGTATACTGTCATCGGGTTGTAAAAAAGAACTTGCTTAACTAAATAAGTAAACAAATTATAGTAAATGATACCTACTGACTTTACTATATTAAAAATAAAGTAATTGATTGGTTTACTAATCTTTTCACTTTTTATTTTTCAATTTCTATCTCTCACTTTCAAATTTTTCAATCAAACAAATAGTTTAACAGCGACATTATTTATCGTCAATGAAAGTTTTGTGTTCAATATTTGCACTAGCGACCAATTGCCTTCAAAGTGTCACACAATAGTTAGTTAGTTACTCTTCAAATATCAATGAAATTTTGGTATTTTTATGCTACTTTTTATTGCGTTCTTGACAGTAAAAATGCTTCCTATTTATCATCAGCACATGGATTTCCAAGATCAGATTTATGGATTAACACAACTTATCAAGCTGAAGATCTTGGAATTCATTATCAAAGCTTACCTCAATGTAAGGCATGGAATCTGTGGTGGGATTTGCAGGTAAGTTTTTACTTCATAAATACTATTATTAATATTTTGTCAGTATAGTTTGAATGAGGCCACTTTACTGATTTTACTGTTATATATTTTTACATATAAAAAAGTAATAGAGTTAATTTAGTAATTTTCATGTTTCACGTATAATCCCATTAACTACCAATAAATTTTAGGTTTAAAAATAACTTATTCATATGCAAAATGCTGACATAACATTACTAAAAAATTTTTCGTTTTAATTTTTCAAAAATACCAAAGAATATAGTTTTTGCAATAAATATCTTTCACAGATAATTGAAAAGAATTTCCTCTAATAACAGTAAAGATTTTTATTAAAACTGCTAAAAAAAGTATTTAAATTAAAAGTGAATAAAATTAATTAGCATGGTAAAGTAACACCAACGAATGAGATCATTGATCTGTTATCATCACGAAAAAATGTGGTATCACTGAATAGTGTGATGCAGTTAGTCAAATTCAATTTACCAAAACATCTTATCACTAAATATAAGGCAAAGTTTTTAAATTCTATTCTTTAAATATTAAAGTGCTACTGCAGTTTTATGCATGTTTAGGAATAAAAACAACAACACATGATGTGTATTAAATCGAAAAAATAGTTGCAGAATATTTAGATATCATAATATGAAAAAAATTTTAATTTATTTAAATCAAATCATCATTATAACAAATTATAATTAGAATTAACTTTCAAGAATTATGCATTAAAAATTTTTTAATTTATTTAAAGTTATAGAAAAATAAATAATGTTTATAATTATAAGAGTATATTAATTCTTGAGCATTTGATATCTGAAATCCATTTAAATGCAAGTGCAATAATTGAAAATGAATTGAAGATTGTGCATATTAACTTCAAACAAGTATGCAAGAATTACACTCGTTATTTGATGATTGATTCTCTGTCCAAAGCTCAGTAAGTTATTTAGTTTTTTGCGTTTTTTTTAAACGTTTAATTTTATTTATTTGATAATTATGAATTAAATCTTGAAAGTTTGCTAAGCCAAATAAACAAATAAAGTACTCATTTTTGGTAGTTTGATTGAATTTGTAATGGATAAGTTAATGTTAATAGATGGCACTCTGCTCTTTCGCACTAATTTGTTTTTGAAGTAATTTTTTTTTTTACTATTTTTATGTACTTTTTACACGCATATAAACATGTATTTTCTTAAGTAAACAAATTAATGTTGAATCAAGCAAATTCTTGAAATTACAATGAGATTATATTGTGAAGGTTTTAATTATAACTAATTGATTTTATTGTCAAAAAATCAGAAAAAAATTTTGATATTTTCAGCCATTTTGGAATTAACTTGTCTAGAATATGTGATAGCTACAAGGCTGAACTTAAAATTTCTGAAAATGGAACAAATAATACAAAAGAAAAAAGAAAAAATGCTAAATCATTGACTAGGTATTTTATTTTTCAATTCAAAAAAATTTAAGAGCAATTTTGGACTGCACCAAAAGATAAGTTTTTTTATTTCTGTTCTACTTTATCCAAAATAACTCTTATGTGAAGAATATAAATTTGTATTACACAATTATTTGCGCAACTTTTTTAACATTCTTTCATTTCTGTATTATGAGTAGATATTCAAAATTTTTAGAAGGTTAAACAGGCAAATTTTATATATCACAATGCATTTCGCGCAACATTTTTCAGTTTGCATAACAATTTGAAATTTAATTCGAAAAAATCAGAGGGAAAAGATCCAAATATAGCATTTGTTACCAAGTACAAATCAGTTGATAATTTGCAACGGGTTGATGGTTCATTTTTGCTTCAATCTGGTAAACGCATTGTGAATCCAGAAGTGAAAATAGCTTATCAGGTAGAATAATGTGGAATAAATCATAATCTACACTTTTTAATTTCTTTATAATTTTTAGAGTTATTTATTTTATTAAAAATTAGTGTAATATGTTTTAGGTAGTCGTTGATTATGATGCAAAAGCTTCAAATGTCGTGTTTAGTGATCCGAAAATTGCACATTTCTTTGAACTTGGTGAATTAACAGAAATATTTCAACTTCACAAAGGAATAAAAATTGACTTGGAAAATGTTTGCACGTCGAAGGAAGATTTTGGTTTGGACTGAATGTTTTAGCTTCATAGTAATGTATACTGCTTATATGTACGTGTACGTGTACGTACATATTTCCTCATCGTTCATCTTTAATAAAATATTGCATTGAAATTTTTAAAAAATTGTTAAAAATTAGCATTTTTGTTTATTTATTTCACTCTTCTTTTATTGATCATTCGAAATAACTAACATTTTGTTAGTTATTTCATTAATTATTTTTATATTTTAAATATTATTTGAATATTTTTGAAACTAATTTTTTAGTTTCTAAGAATTCTGAAGAACAAACTGTGGTTGAACTAAAGGTAATATCATTTAAAAACTTACATAACTTTCACATTCAATTTTTTTTTATTTTTAGAGCATCAAAAATTTTTATACATAAAATTAGAAGTTAAAATTAGTAGTGTATTACATATCTTTATTAAATTATTATTTTGAAAACAGTTAAGCATATTTATTTTATAATAAAAAATTTTAGAAAAATAGAAAAATGAATCTAAACGAGAACAATACTACTTCAAAATTATTTTTGGAATATGGCATTCAGTTAAGTAATATTTTAACTCTATTTGATAATGAAGAACTTATCAAACAAACGCCTTATTCATCATCCAAACTTAAACCCATTTTGGATAGAAACCGCTATGATTCAAGGTTGATTTCATTGTCATTTGTGTTCTGTTGTCATATCACATTTCAAGTCTGACATGATTTTTCCCTAGTAACATATTTGTAAAAAAATTAAAATAAAATAACTGCTATCAATTAAAAAGATTTTTGCAGATCTCCACCGATCAATTGCAATGATAATTTCACGGAAGTATTTTTTGGAATATTTGTTCAGTCAATGTCAAATTTTCAACAAAGTTCAATGGCATGTTTGATGACAACCTTATTTTATTTTTGAAACTTGGCTTTTTAATTCTTTTTTGTTTTTGAGAATTTTTGAATATTCTACCATTTTGTTTTATTTAGTTAATTTATTCGATTTGTAATGTTTTGAAATGTAATTAAAGCTTTTGCTCAAGACAACTTTTTGATTTCAGTAACAGTCAATTCAAAATTAAATTTAATTTCTTTTTCAAAAAATTATTTAAATCAGGATTATGATATGGATTTATGGTTACGAATGACTTGGCGTGATTTACGTTTAGTTCACGAATTAGATCGACCAATTTTAATCAACGATGAAAACTTTCTCAAGTTAATACTAACATTCAGAAATAATTCTTAAAAAATATAGATAATTTTATTGTTAGATTCTTAATGTATCATCTTTGAAATTTATGCATTGTTTTTTTCCAATTAAATTTCATCAAGAATCAGCACTTTTAATCTTATACAAAATGGAACTGACTAAATGCATCGTTGTAATTTGCAGGAAAATTTGGCTTCCAGCGCCATTTTTTCAAAATGCTAAAGAAGCTAAATATCATCGAATGACACTGCTCAATTTTTGGATGTATATATTTCCTGGAGGCGAAGTTTTTCTAGAAACTCAGTATATGTTTTGAAAAATATACTATAATTTTTCTATTTTTTATTACTGATTATTGAATATCAGTTTTTTTACTTTACCGCGATATTTTTTTTTTGTAATCGTATGTATCAAGAATAGCTTGTCATTATTATATCTTTCAGTTTGTACTTAAAACTATCATGTAAACTTATCTTGTGCAAATATCCACATGACAATCAAGTATGTACATTGAAAATAAGTGATAGTAAGTAGTTTTATTTATTTAAATATTAATTGTAACTGATTAATTGTTCTTTATTTTTTCAAAATAATCATATTTTATGAGTTTTTAATTCAATGTGGGAAAGAATTATATTTTATTATGAATTGTTCTGTAATGCGATAATTTAAACAAAAAATGAATCGAAAAAATTTTTGATTACATATTTTTGGCTAAGAAACTTTTGTTCATAACGAATATCTTTTATTTAATCACCATTAAACCACATAAGAAATTTTTTCACGCAATATTTTAGTTGCATTAGACAGTAATTCTGTTCGGTATATTTGGTTTCCACGTTTGCGTGATGCAATTAGAATGAATGAGAAGTTGGAATTAGGAGAACTTTACATTCAACAATATCACACACAAAATTGTATTGGAAAACGTAAAACGGGTATTTTTTTTACGTTTAAAAAAATTCCAAGTCAAAAAATAACAACTAATTTTAACTTGTTAGCTCTTAATCTATGCACAACTTTGGTCATCACTTTACTAATTGTAATTTTATTAAATTAAAAATCTTTCTTTACTTTTAAAATAATGAATACTCTATCATAGTGTCAAAAGAAATTAATTGCAGGTGATTTTTCATGTCTAGAAGCTCAATGGAAGCTCAAGCGTCATCTGAGCTATCACTTTACTCGAACTTATATTCCAACCGCAATCTGTGTGTTATTCTCCTGGATTAGTGTTTGGCTACCAGAAGAATTTGTAACTGGTAGAATATTTAGCTCGTTGACGTTGTTTCTAACGTTAAGTACTGAAAATAGTGCTATGAAAGAAGTGTTACCAAAAGTTTCCTACATGAAGGTTTTTTTTTATTCAAGATCGGATTTAAAAAAATAAAATCAAATCTTAAATGACGTAATTCTTGATAAGATATCAATATTTTAAATTCCGTAAATTTTCAGCATGAAATCATCTTTACAATTTTACTTGATAAAATTTTCATTTTATCATTAATTATTGCAACCAAACTATAGGTAAAAAATAATATTCTCAACAAAATTAAGTCATTTTTTTCACAGGCAATTGATATATGGTTCGGTTTCACTGCAAGTTTTGTCTTTATCACAATGCTAGAGTCAATAGTTGTCATTTCTCTCGAATATAAATCTCGACAGTTGGTAAGTAATTATAAAGTTAGATATTTAATTTAATAATATTTGAGTTTATATTATATGAATAAAATTAAATTTTATACTTTATAATAAATGATTGTTTAATGCACTGCAATAATAATTCTTATCATTCTTTTTCGTCTGTATCATTTATTATGCACACTATTCATGACTGAAATAAAATAAAATTTTTCTTGATAATTTAATTCAAAAAAAAAAAGGAAAAAAGAAGTTATTGTCATTACACACTTGTGAATAATCGTTTTTAAATACTCACAATATAAGAAAAATAAATAATACTACATGTTGAAAAAAAATTGTAATACTACATATCTGTTCAGTATTGTTTACTCATTAACTCATTCATTTTAATATTAATAATTATAATTAGCAAAATGCAAAGTTCAAATTGCAAATTACAGCATAAGAAGGCTGAAAATCACTCAAATTTTATCTCTCATTATCATATTATGATTTTGCTAGCAAATTATTATCAAACAGTAGCTCGTCAGATTGATAAATATTCACGAACGTTATATCCGGCTATTTTTCTACTTTTTTTGATCATCTATTATTTTGTGATTATTGAAGGAGATGAAATGAAATGTATTCAGCAAAGTGGTAATAGTACACTGTGATTGCCAACTTATTATTATACATTTGTGAATTAACAATTTGCAAATATTTATATTAATTTATGTATTTATGAGTGTTTGCTCAAAAATTATGGCTTATTCAATATTTTTGTGAGTCAAATCAAATCATTTAAGCAATAATATTTTATCTGATGTTTTCTTCTCCTTGAAATCGAATAAATATGCGTGATATTAAAACGAACACTTTTTTTCTAACACAGAAAAACGCAGTAAATGATTTAAAAGTTGCATTTATTATTACTAACGAATTACTGATGTAAATACAAAAAATAAAATAAAGCCATAAATTAAATGTAAATCATAATTACACATATATGATAGCATCATTACTAGATCTAACACTTTATAAAAGATGATTCACAGATAGCTCAAGCAGTTCATGACTTATATTTGTGCAGACGAAAAATCTTCTTAACAAGCTGTGATAAAATGATATGAACTAAAAGTTTAAGCAACAATGAACAAGGTCGACGATCATACACATTATTTCATGAAGACAAAACAAATTTTTTCTATTAAAATGTAAGAAATAATTTATCAAAAATTTTTAAATGCATTTATAAAAAACAGCAATCTAAAAATATCTTTGCGCTCAGTAAGTATATGAAATACAAACGTGTGCATGAACGAAAAATGAATTAATGGAAATATAAAAATAATAAAAAAAGTATAATTTATCATAAGATTTTAAAGAATTGTTAAAAATATGCTAAATATGCAAAAGTTTCATTCAAAACGAATTATAAACATCGTAGTTGTTTGATGTTGTTTTTTTTTTTCACTAAAAAAATAATGAAGAATTGAAGTTTTTGTAAATGCTTTAGTCAATGGAAAAGTAAATTAGAATTAATTGTTGAAAGAATTCATTTATTCTCTTATCTTTTGTCTGTTTATTCAGTTTTAATACTATATATTATAATAAAGAATTTTTTATTATCCACAAAGATAAAGGTAGTGAATACCGATGACACGTTAATTCGTAATCAAACAGCAGTCCAGTTAGTGATGAATGACCCACAAAAATTATACAAATAGGGAATAGTTTGGTTCAAAAAATCAGCAATACTATAATGATTTTTTACTTGCAAAATTTTGATTCGCAATTTTATTTTCTCGATAATCAGTCATTATATTTGATCTATCATTGTATTATCATTACTATTTTTGATATGTTTTACAAAGTATATCAATTTGATTTTATAATTTTTGTGTTTACAATAATTTTTTTAAACTATACCAGATAAAAACTAAAAATTTTTTAAATTTATATTCAAAACTTTGGTCTTGGTATTTTTTTCTGTAAACGTTACTTCTACTATGTTATAAAACATTATAAAATTGTCAATTATGACATTTATGCAGCAAAATAATTCTTGCTGTGATACATAAATTCTGATCATTGTATGCAAAGTTTGAAAATAGTTATAATATGGTTTGCATCACTTGCAAAATTGTTTTTGAAAGATATACTATTATAAATAAAAACAAATTATAATTCGCAGCTTTTTCAAAATAAGATAAGTTCTGAAATAATTTAATTTCCACAGAACACAATTAGAGTTTACATTTTTGCAATTATTATTCAGCAATATTTTCATGAGCAATATGATTGCAAATTTGTAGCACCAAAAAAAAAAAAGAAACGAAGCCCCATAATGTTTTGAATTTTTGATGACCGATTTGTGCCAGAATTTATTTTTTCTGCTAAATATTTTCAAATATTTGTAAATAAAGCATTTTTATTGCCTTATATAATTTTTTTAATGCAGTGAAAATATAAGCTTTTTAGTGAAATAAAAAATTATTTAATTTGATTTCATACGTCATAAATTAAAATACTGGCAAAAATGAATAATTATCATAAATACTCGCATAATTGATATTGGCGCAAATTTTATCAGATAAATCAAAATGTTTTTAATAATTAATTGCACCTTTACCTGTTCAGAAAAAGTTCAGTTCTATAGAACATATTAGCTTTTTTTCATCCTTTTTTTAAAGATATTTTAAGTACAGACAGATTGATATGATGAAGAAAAGCTTCAGTACAATATTAGAATTAGTATAAAAGGCCATTTTTACTTTCTAAAATTATTTTTAAAATAAAACAATTTTTTAAGATCATATATACGAAGGAATTTTTTGTGTTTTTTACGACAGTTCGCTTTGTATTCATATGAGAGCAATTTTATTAATAAAACTATGAGAAGTATCAAAAGACATGACATTTATTATTAAAAAAGCAAATATCATTTATATCAAAACTTTTTTAGCATATTTATTTTTTCAAAATTGTTCGAAATATAATTTAGAAAGGATCTACTACAAGCTAGACATTGTGCTACATTAATATATTCTTCAGGCGATTTTTATAAAAAAGTTATTCATTAAAGTGTAATTATGCTATTTATTTCATACTTTTTAACTCTGTCATGACAGTTATAAACTAGTCTAGCACTTATAAACAATATCCTTTTTCTTATTTAATACTTTCTTTGTAATAATGACTTGATATTCTAGAAATAATTGAATATATGCATTTCATTTTCCTTCGTTATTTCACAAAGTAATGAATGATTCTAATCAAAAACTTTTCAAGAAAACACATGCAAAAGTTTTGGTATATTTTTTACTTTCATATTTTATTTTTCTTAATCATTTATGCATATCTTAATGATGTCGTGATGTTGACGTTTGTAGTAAATTTGGTATCAGAAATTAATGGTCATAAAAAAACAACTACAGAGCATCTGAATACGATTATATTGGGGAAGAAATCATGATTAAATTACTTTTACTAAATACTTGTCTGATTCATTCTAGTTTCAAGTTTTTAATTATTCTCTTTTTAAAAATGTTACTTGATCGAAACTTAGTCAAAAATTTGTGATTTATTGGAAAGTTTATTAATATATGAGTAATGAATATTAAATCACTGAAATAAACATTGTCCTAAATTTCATTTGCTATCAAAGTTTCAGGCTTAGGTCATACTCATTAAACAGTTTTACAAATTTTATAGTTTATATGATTTCTACAGATAGTAGAAAATAGTTTTTCAAAAACTAAATGTTTTATACTGCTATTATAGTTAACTACAATCATCGTTACAAATGATGACAATATTTTTTAATTTTTAAGTGAACAAAGCTAAAGAAAATCGAATACTAATTTGAAAACTGAGGATTTAAATAGAATAAAATAATGTTTAGTATGGTTCAATTTAGTTCAATGAAACTCATAACAACTACTTTTTCCGCTTAGTAATTTAATAGGGATTATTACTTCGAAGTACAAAATAAATGCAATATTTGTTGCTTTTTTCTTTTATGCATGAAATTTTGTCATATAATCTAGCATATTTCTTTGATTATTGTATTTTTATGTGTATTGGTGATTCAATGCTGAAAATATTTTTTGAATATGCAAAATAAACATAAAACTTTTAAAATAATAGAAAAGAAAGATCTATGCTTGTGCATAATTTTAGAATTGTGAATGCCACTAAATGCATTATTGTTGATTGAGTTTAAAAATGTTTTTGCTTTTTTTTTTTGCAAATAAATTTATAACTACACAAAACTACAAAAAAAAATCCAAGGTAAACATAGATTTTCATCAGATATGCAAAAGTTAAAGGTCATTTATTGAAAACTATTTTTTTATTTAATTTATTTTTCAGCATTTATGTGAAAATTGTTTTAAAAATTTAAGTAATTATCCGAAATTACATTTGTGCTTATTTTTTACAACTCTAAACCATTCATTTGTAAATTGTTGCACATTTTTATTGTCATTTTTTTGCTTTTTAATTAAACCAAAATCATGCATTATTTGAAGAATTATTACAAAATAAGACTACAATGTTTTAAATAAATGAATACTAAAGATCAATTTTTACGGAAACTCTCTGAAAAATTTGAAACAGAGTGGAGTCATTTGTTGTTGAAGTTACTTGTTGCACAGTGTGTGGGCTTAAGCCAAAATCCAAGCATCTTTTAAGCATATGCTTTAATTAACAATGTTTCAGGAAAAAAGAGAAGGAAATGATTAAACTAACCTTTGACCGATCTTCCACTAAAATGATCATCTTTTTTCTCCACCTTTTTCCACTACTCATTCACAATTTCATATATATGTTAAAGCTAAACTTTGCTATTTACATCAGAAAATCTCCAGCGATTTTTTTGATTAAAACTTAATCTGATTTCATGTTATATTTCTTTCAAGTGTTAATGGTTTTAAATTGCGCAAGTAATATGACGTTGTGTCATGAAATACAATCAGTCAAATGGATTTTATATATTTAACTTAAGAGTGTTTCGATTCTGAAGCATCAATAAATTCAGTATTATCAAAGATGAAAATGAAAACGATACATTTTTTGAAGATATTTTTACTCTCGCTGATTACTATTTATATTTGATATTTGAGAGAAATCATATAGTTTATTTTTCTACATTTAGAATAGAAATCAGTGATCTTTATTAATTTATGCTCTATTTTGTGCTTGTCACAAAAACTTAAATTAATTCACAATTAAATTGTTCACTCCTCACGTTTTTTACTTAGTGTTTTTTAATATATTAGTTTCTTCATTTATCTTACTTCATGAATTCTCAGTGTACTTTATCAACCTGAGTAAATTGTACTACAATCACTATTATTGTAAAAAAATTTAATGATTATGTAACGTTCGAAAGATTTTTTGCAGTTTCGTGTAAATTTTTTTCATATTTCATAAATTATGTAGTTAATTAATACGTTATTCCTTTATAGCAGAAACAAATGAAGCATATACTACCTATCGTACTACTAACAGTTGCTGCTGTGGTACTGTCAAACCCAGTACCTAAATCAGGTTAGATTCCAATTTAATCAAAGAAACTTTTACAATTTTCTACGTTAATTTGAACAAAGATTATGCACAAACTTTTGAAATCTTAAAAATTTACAGTATTTTTATGACTTATCAGATACTTCCATGATATTTTAAAAAATAACCATATTAACATGGTATACTTGCCAAAGTTTATGCATAAAATACAACACACTTAATCAAGATTAACTGAGTAACTCAAATTGTTTACTTTTTATCACTATCTAATGCACTTAATTCTGGAATAAAACTCATTGAAATTTTGTAAATTACTGTCGGTTAATTATCAATAATGTCAAAAATCTTAAAATTATATTTTCTACGCAAAAAAAGCCAGTAATATTTTCATAATTGCTCATTTCTGTTCATGTCTGAAAGCAATTTTATTTTAGATTTCAAAGAAAATAATGTATCATCAACTGTAGAGACAATAACTTCTTCTGATACGGTACTTATTATCAATATTTGCTCAGAGATTAAAATTTTTATTTGTAAAACAAATTAGAATTAAAAGCATATCGAAAAACGCTCAATGAAGGTCTGGAGATTGATTTTAAAAATTATTTAGAGCCGTCCTTGATCTGCAAATTATCCTAGATTCGTAGACAAAAGCAATGCTATTTTGCTTATTACTTTTACAAATCTTAATCATAAAATGTTAAATTCTTTAAACATTAAACTAGTATTAAACAATTAACTGTGTAATGCAAATTTATTAACTTATTTTTATTCGATTTCTTTTAATTCGAACGCGAGATTAGTAAAATGTTCATTAATTAATTGGTTGTGCAAATACCAAAATTAGTCAACTTTTACACTGAAATGTGTATATTATGATAAATAATGAGATGTGTAGAACTTGAGGATAAATATAAGCAACAATTTTACTCTTCCTATCATCAATTTAATTGAGGTGGAAAACAAGATATTGGAAAGTGAGACTGCCGAAAAAAATACAACTCACTTGGAGGCAGCAGAATTCAACAAAGAAGTTGTAGCAAGCCCTCAGAAAGATGAAGAATCAGAATCTGAAACGATAAAAGAGAATGTCAGTGAAGAAAAGCACTCAAATTCGTCATTAACAGAAGAATCTAACGATGAGAAACCAGTAAATATACATGATCCAGCAGTAGAAAAAAAGACTGAGACCACAATTTTATCAGATGTAAGCCAGTCACACGCTACATTCGAAGAAACCACATCCACACCTGATAAAGCAGAACATTTTAAGGCTGAAGCGAAAGTAGAAGAAAAATCCACCTCTGCACCAAAAGAAAAAGAAAAGACAGGTGATGAAGCAAAATCGGAACATTCTACTGAGAAACCAGAAGAACAATCTACTGATGAACCAAAGGTGGAGGAAAAATCTGTAAGTGCATCAAGAATAGAACAACCTATTGAGAAACCAGAAGAAAAACAATCTACTGATGCTCCAGAAGTAGAACGAAAAATTGCTGACACACCAAAATTAGAAGAGCAATCTTTTAAAAAATCAGAAGAAAAACAGTCTACCAATGCTTCAAAAAAAGAGCAAGAAGTTATCGATGCATCAAAAGTAAAAAAGCATTCTCTTGAAAATTTAGGAGGAAATCAATCCATTGATGCGGTAGAAGCAGAGAAAATAACTGTCAATGAATCGAAAAGAGAAGAGCAATCTAACGCAGTTTCAGAAGTTAAACAAATAACTGCTGGTGTATCAAACTTGGAAAAAGAACACAACGAGAAAGAAGAAAAACATTCTGCTGATCGAAACAATCTGGAAATAAAATCTAATGTAGAAGGACCAAAAATAGATGAACAATCTAAAGAATCACCAAAAGTAGAACTATTCACTGATGCACCAAAAATCGAAAACAAATCTATCGACACAGTGATAATACAAGAAAAACATTCCGCTGATCCATCAAGAATAGAAGAATTATCAACTGACACACCAGTAATACAAAACTTATCTACTAGTGAATTAGAAAAGAAGAAAGCAAATGTAACAGAAAATAAAAACGATTCAAATGATGAAAAGGAAATAATTCAGTCCTCTACTGCAACGACAAAAGCATTTGAAGGAATAACAGTAGAAGCAGAAGGAGGAGAAAAGACCGCTAGTGAAGCGTCAGAGTTGACGGAAACTACTACTAAGAGAGAAGAAGTGCCAGAAGAAGAGATTCAAACGCTCAAATCAGTTACTGCGACCAAGGAAACACAGGCAAATGCTGAGATACCGAAAAAGGAAGAAAAGCCGGAGACACCATTAGCAAAGTCAAGTAAGCTTGATTTATTAGTACTGTCACACATTAATATTCACCATCACTACGATTATTCATCCTTCATATTATTATCATTGTTACTGTCATTAACTGCTATCATGATCAATGGTTTTAGTCCTAGTGATATTCTATGAGCTCGGTAGAAATCAACATACAAAAATCAAGCGTTATTTTTTACACCACAATATAATCATAAATATATATATTGTGGTGTAGAAAATAACGCAAATCAATAGGTAGATCTAAGCTATTTAAATATATGTATAGTTTCTAATCAGCTTTTCATTTGCTCCTTTTTGAATACCAAATAATAACCACATAACACAGGTCAAGAAACTAATTACACCTTTTCTAGTCATCTGTCAATATGCTTAAATGAAATATATCAAATACTGCATAATGCAAGTCTCGTCTCATAGTACTATTTCTGGAGCAAAAGTCTTAGCATCTGATTTCAGAATATTAAAACCTCGTTTATTAATGCACATATGTGAACAAATTTCGTTAGTTTTTGAACTTTTGTATCTAAAATTTTGTCTAGTACATTTATATTCGTGACTTTACTATAATATAATGGCTAAAAGTAGCTTCGAAATTTCATATTATCAAAATCTGGAAAAATTTGTCTCAGTTTAATCATAAATATACAAATTATTTTCCAAATTTGCATTATCCTACATTTGTTTCAGTTTCTTGCAATCACAAAAAAATACAAATTAGTCTTTTACAGTTCAAAGTTTAAAATATTTTTATTATTTGTATGAAATCGAGCGGATACTTTAGTGAAACTCAAAAATTGAATATTTAGGGTGAAGTTGATCTGCAGTCAGGAGTGGCCTAACAGGACGATGTAGCAGAATCTTCAGTTGCTGAATTTTTTTCAATGTATCTGACATTCCGCTGAAATGAGTTATTTATTTAAATTTGATTCAGCACTCCTTATTAATTATTTATTCCAGTATCGATAAAAAATAAATCCTTGAACTACGCAATTAATTTCGTTTTCCAATTTCCATTCACGACATTTCAAGCATTTTTTAACTGTTTAAGGCATTTGACATATATTATCCAATTACAAATATCATCCTTTTAAAGCAATCAAAGGTTAAATTGCATGAAATAAGGATTCAAAACATATTTCTTTTTTTTAAATAAATAAAAAATTCCAGTTACTATTTCTTGACTAATCTCTTTAAACTGTAAGCTCCACGTTTTGCCTTAGCATAGCAGTCAAATATGGTTGCACTGGTATAAATTTAAGCGTCTTCAAAACGCGAATCTTCTAATAAATTTGGTGAAGAGACAGCATTTAGCAAAGATTAGAAATCAGCATTTTTCCTCACCCAAATACTCAAAGAATGCCTCAAAGGAATATTGTATTGCTTTGCTGTGAAAAATTACACTTTCTAGTCGACGATTTAATGGATTTTTTTTTTCATTTATTCTGTGAAATATAAAAGCTGCAAAATGAGCTCAAATGTCAGAATAATATTAAACTTGTCAGTATTACCAGACTGCAATAGTATCCATTTTATTGTTTCTTCAGTATTAAGTGACTGAGGTCTTGCCGTACTACAGCTGTTCTCATCTGATTCTATAAAATAATCAAAACTTTGGAAGCACACAATCAATCATTCTAAATTTACCCACACATTATGCTATTTGTAAGCAATGATATATATTCTAAAACTCATCTTCCAGAAATAAATTTCAATTTTACCAATATTCTTCATTTTTTCAAACTGCTAGTACAATGAAGAACAAGCAATACATAAGGTAATGATAAGATCATAATCAATCTGAATGTAAGAAAAAATATTACAACTTGAAGAATGAATGATTAGAAATTATATCACAGCTAGAAGAAGTAAGATGATGAGTAATTTATAATTTGTTAACAAACTGAAGCACGATCTCAATCAGTTCTAACTTTTATCACTCAAGAAATTACTACTCGTATAAGAATCCTTTAAATGCCTAACCATTTTTCTTACACTAAAGATAAATTTTGAAAATGACATGAACGCATTTCTAACAAGCCCTTTCAAATATAATTCCATTCGAATTCATTCTTTACAATATTTTTCTGCACCAAAAATGTGTAATAATAAACTATATAAGTTGTGCCGAATATGTCGCAGTTTTATTATAATTTTATTGAAAATCAGTTCAAGAAATATAAATAAAAGTGAGATATTAAAAGTTGCTGAATTCATTAAAAACAAATGGCTAAGAATAGCATTTTCATTCGAGAAATGATACGAAACAATTGCGAATTGAAGGCTATATTTAGTTCCATACGTAATTCATCAAGTACCATATCAATGCTTTTTTTTATCGAAAAAACTACGAGACGAAGAATATCTTTAGTTAGAATAAGAATAACTGAGTAGTGTATAATGAGCATGATTCAACAAAGACAAAATTGGATTTCTTTAATCAATTTTCAAACTTTGTGCTATTTATGAGGTGTAGTAGAGACGGCTAAATCAAAAATGCTTCAAATTGTCACCAAATTTTAAGCTTAAAGTGCTTGTTATTTTGCGCGATGATATCCACATCTTTAATCTACATTTTCCTCTGCATATAAGGAAACTACTGCAACCAGTTGATTTGATCATAAGAACGATGCAGAAGTGGTACAACTAACTGAACCTGAAATCCTAGAGAGGTTTTCAAAATAAGCTATAGCAAGTAATTACGATATGATGGCTTGAAATTAAACTCTGTAATCAATGTCAAAAGGCTACTGGGCACTGCCGTGTTAAAGCTCTGCTTGGCTACTATTTATTAGATAAATTTTTATAGTTATTCGGTTCATTTACTTCAAATACTAAAGCATGATGTATGAGGAGATGCTTCGATATAACTGCTAAACGCATATTTGAAGTATGCAAAAATTATCAAAAGAATAATGCTTTTCAAATTTGTTATTGAAACGTTAAAATTTGGCATTCATTGCAAGATCTTTTGAAGGACAAAGTCTCTTGCAATCAACTGAAAAGTAGCAGCAATTGCTACACACTCGTAAATACTTTATCCTTCTTAATTTTACAAGATATACTTACTATATCGGGAAAATATGCTAATTTTATCAGAAGACTAATTTCAGTTTTCAAGTGAAAAATTAATCCAAATACGGAGGAAATTTAAATCTAGCATCGTATTTTGTCTTATTTTTTTGACCAAGTGACTAAGAGAAAAGTACTGCATAATTTTAATTCATTACTGCATAATTAAAGAATCAAATGAAGTAAGACAGTCTAAACCCACTGTACTGTGTGCAACTAATATGCCATATACGACGCATTCGTTGTACATGAAAAGGCATTACTGCTAGTAATGATAAATTATAAGTTGTAGTTTGAGAAAAAAAACAAAAGAAGAAACAATATTAGATGTGAGAGAATTAGAAGTTAGTGGCAAGCAGAGATACTTTTTAGATGCATGAAAAATTGAGAATATAATGCTCAAATGAAGCCATAATGAAAGAGCGCTGAAAAGTATGAGTGCACAGAGATTGATAATGCTTAGAAAGAGTACAGTGATTGAAAATTAGTTGCAAATTGTGGCGTATGATAGTGAATCTCTATTTTTGCACACAGACCATATAAAAATGCTGTTAAATGTTGTTATTGCTAATTTCTTACTTGTTACGAAAAAAAGGTAATTACGCTATAATGTACTCTATGCGAGTGTTGTGTCAATTATTACTAAAAATAGGTCTAATTTCTTGGATTTAGAAGTAATTAGTTTTTATTTTGTAGTAAAATCAGATATGATAATTTAGCAAAGTGCTTATAAATAAACTGGAATATTCAAATTAACGGAATTCACGATGTAGAAATCCAAATACAACAGCGCTCTTTTCATCCACTGCATGTATTGTAGAATATTTTTTTAATTTCATAAAGCTAATTAATGCTTTAATTACATTCAATTTCAGCACATTTGTTTTCAATTTTCCACAATGTCTTCTCATTCTATTGAAGCGTTTACTGCGGTTAGTTTTACTCTCGTATTTTATTTTTGTTCATTGTGGGATGATTATTTTTGCCACTATTACTCTGTTTTTAATGACTCTGAAGATATTGGTCATAAAATCTTCAAATCTATCATTATAGCGTAACGAAGAATTACTCAGTAAGGTATATTATTTTAATTTTTTTTCATATTACATTATCATCATTTATGCATTTGAAGATTCTTAAATGTTTTCTGCTACGAAAACCTTAATGTTATCATTTATTCTTCACTTGCGTTGTCTTACACTAACAGATGTCAGGTCCAGCTAGGTACAACGGTTGTAAATGATTCAGCAAGGCACCATTCTCTCCAGTTTGTGCTTCATGTGTTGTATCAGTTTTTGTAGTTCCATATCTTAAATTATTTTATTCTGTGAATATCAGTTATCTGTAAGTTGTGAAAACTTTCTGTTATCATGTAAGTTGTAGTCATTTGAATTTAAAGCATCAACGAAGCGAAAAGATTGAAGTTTTTCGATTGGTGTTCTCCTGCGATCAATTGACTGGCTGATAGTTAATGTAGAGAACATATGATGACTAATTTATATTGTCAGTTTTATTGTCCTTATTTTGCTTATTGAATCAGTGCATTAATTTTTACAGCTGGAACAATTTCATGCAGTTTTGAAAAATGCTCTTGGATTATATTCTTCAGCTGATGAATTAGTCAAATATTGCTTGCCAGGTCAGACATTCAGAGAATTGATTGAAACTGTTTGGTATGGTGAATTAAATGCTGATCAAAAAAAGAAAGTTCAAGAGATTGTCTTCGATATTTGTCATCAGGTTCTAACAAATACCGCCGCAGCAGTAATTGCTTATGCAATCGAGAAAAAGCAAGTTTCTTCGCTAAGTAAGGAAAGATCATAATCTTGCATAATTATCTTTTTCAAAGTTAATAGTCGTGCATTAATATCAGCAAAAATATTCAGATAATTATTTAGAGTTTTCATAGTAAAACATAGAAATTTTGATGCCTGCATTTTTGAAAAGACCATTAGTCATCAAAGTGCTGAGACATTTTTGCCTCATTTTTCGTTACAGATTGTAATGACTTACTTTGCAGAAAAAACGTTGTCTTAAACACTGAGGGGTCATGGGTATTGTTTGAAAAGTGCAGTGGTGAAAAGCTGTCAAGAGTTATTTCTGACTGTCTTTTTCTTTTTCATGTAATATATGATGTCAGGTAATTTCTGGATTTTTATTTATTGACTAGTATTTTATAGTAGCGTGAAACTAAATATATACTAATCGTTGAATAGTTTAGTTTCTTAAATCATTTAAATTTTAGACACATTCCATCGTTGTTTTCGTTAATGGAAATAAGAGAATTTGAAGAAATTGGCGGTGCAGCTAGACAACTTCTGGAATTTTCGGGTGAGTAGCAAATATTTCTCATACTTGTGTTGTTAAATCTGTTCGTATTTGTGTTCCTCAACATATATATGTTAGCAGTTTTCTGTATTAGTGTAGCAAAGTTGCTAATAGCATTTCAGAATCAGAGAGTTTCAAAAAGCAGTTACCTACTTCAGTTCTGGAGTTTTATAGAAAGGTAGTGTTTTCAAGAAATTCCCTTTCTATTTTTCTGAATAATCCGTAAAGTGTTTCGTGCTCATTTATTATTGTGTTGTCATGTGTTCTAGTCTTACAAAAAATTTGAAGGAACTTTTCCATTTATTTGATTTATAGTTAGAAGAAGTCATATATGTCGAGGATTTCACTGTAGCCGCAGAGAGACTCTTCAAAAATATTTCTAACTGCAACTTTGATATATTTGAAATGCGTAAACTTTCTAAATACGAAATACGGGAAAAACTGGATTTTAACTTATTCAAGAAGTGATTTTAGTTTTTTTTTTTTTTTGATTTTCTATTCTTATATATAATCGGCATCATCAAAATATTCTTCGAAAACTCGTGAAAATGGGCAGTTAATCGACCACTGCCCAGTGGAACTTATTTTGTAACTATAGTTCTTCTAATTCTTAAAAAGTGGAGATTTTCAGAGCATGCAGTGTTTTCGCTACATTTAAGGATGTATTCGATGTCTGTGTTATAGGAGAATTCTTAAATGTTGTAAAACATATTGCATGTAATTGTAATAACCGGAATGATGTAATGGTGTATTTTGATCAAAAAGTGCAACGAGATGCAAATCTGAACAATCTCAAGAACTATTATCAGGTGATATAAGTTTCTGTGGTGCCTTGATTTTCACATTTTTAGAATCTAGTTGGTAAGATGATTAAGATATAATGTCAAATTTTGCTCGCAGCACAAAATGCGATGTATCAGAAGATATTATTTTTTTAGAATTTGCATAGGTAACTTTTCATATTATAATTTGATTTTTTTTCGTATTAAAATTTTATTTACAATTTTTAAAAGCATTAAACTTAGTAGTTACAAATTTCAGGACTATGACGTAGACGTGAGAAATCTCTTTGCTCGTCTTGAAGACCATATTCACTTTTTTAATGATGAAGTCATAATGAAGGAAACAGTTGATAAGGTTTTTACTTAAAAGTTTCTGTTAGGAAGTTTTGAATTATGAGGAATTATCATGTGAAATTTTTGTAATTTTGATTTGTTTTTGTTAAAAAATAAAACTGCGTGTATTTTTTCTTGCGATAATTCTTTTCGGAACTTTTTGCTGTTTCAGTGTGCATGGTTATTCATGATTTCACCAATTGAAACTTGGGTAACCCTTTTTATGCAATGTTTGGAAAACACTTTGATGGTGCCAAATTTAATCAGAGTAATAGATTTTAATTCTTCTTTCTTTATCTAATTCTTTATTACAAATCTTTATCTGAAATACATTTTCAATAAAGTATCTCATTTCTTTAAAGGTTTTGCGAAAGTTTCCAGAATACTGCAGATTGAGTCGAAAATCAACTTTTATGGAAGACTATTGTCCGGATCTTAAATCCCCCATTTTTGTGCTTGCTTTGAGGTAATCTAATAATCTGAATTTTCATCATGATAAATAATGAACATTATGTCGTACCGTTGTAAATGTTATCTTTTTAAATGTGATTGTTTATTGAATATGGGAAAAACTCACCATAATTTATTGGAATATTCAAGACACATTTTAACCAAACTGCGTTCATCTATGCAATCTGGAATGAGGCGTCGAAATTTCATTTATATTTGTGTGGCATTATGTCGTGAACGTCGCACTGTACTGAAAATTAACGGTAATGCACGAGGTATGCCCAGTACCTTATTTTACAGTGCTGAATCAGATTTACAGCATTATTGAATAAACATATTCCGTCTCTTTCATACTGTTTAATTGCTTTTCTTGAACTCAATTTTCTGATAAACCGACATTAGGAAATAGCTTATTTATAATTTTCTTTGCTAGTGTAATAGTATTGTATTACGTTTCAATGTGTTCTAGACCAAGAAGAAAAGAAATCCGTGAAGAATTCATCGTCACTCTTAGGAAAAGTCATTGACACTGCTCTTATTGATGGGTCTATAATTCTTAATCATCTCGTTTTTCCCGCTTTATCAGATGTGTTTTACCAAGACATTGCGATAGAAATTGCAAGAACATTGTTAGTTAGTCCTGGTCCGAAACGTTGCCCGATTATATGGAATTCCGAGGAAGGTAATCCTCATTTAAACTTAATCGTTTTGTAAAATGAGTTGTAAAGGAGTTGAATGGCTTATTTGAATGTTCTTCAGGTATAACACTAGCTGCTTTGAGTGGTAAAAATAAAAACGGTCTCGGCGTTTCTATACCTAAGCTAATTTTGGCAATGGTAACTATAATCAGTGAAAATCGGGACTATTATTACAAACTCGTCACTATCTGTTTAGATTGTCTGCAGTTATTGGGAAACCGACTCGAAGGCATCTTATAAAAATTCATTAAAATTTTCTACAAAGTTTTTTATTTTTTTATTCGTTAAAGTCGAAAGATGATATTATCACTATCAATAAGTATCACACTTTTGTGTAAAATTTGAGAAGATGGAGTGATTATCTCGGCAAACACGTTCAATAGTCTGCTGAATTGTATTAATAGCTCTTCATGGACTTACAGATATGCATTGACTACATGGTTTAGTGGCTGTCTTATTTCATACAAAAGAGAAGTATGTGCTTGTCAATTCTTTTTTTTAGCTTTACATTTTTGCCAAGATTAGTTCTGGTTGTTGATGATTTATGCCTTTATCTTTTAATAACATATGTAAAATACATTTCGTTGAAAATTTCAAATATTTGTTTTTCTCGTAAACGGGGAAAATATTTGCAATAAAGACATTTTGAATTTTAGATCCCTCCTCTTCTTTATAAAGCCCTAAAAAAAGAAAATAGAGAAAATATGACGATGATAATCGAATCCGAGAACACTGACGACGATACTTCTAATCGTCATCTTCTCCGAAATCTTTTTGATTTGGCAACTATTCAGTGTGATTTATCAATAAATATAATTAGAAGCGGTAATTTCTTTCTATAGTTCGAGGATCTGAAATTTAGGATATCCTATTAATGTTTTACACTTCAAAACGATTCTTATCACAAAGATGATGATTTGTGATTTTATATTTGATATTAGACAAAAACTACTTTTATCTATAAGTGATCTAGATATGTATTTTGTGGAAAGTACTTTCTCCTAATTGACATCGTATATATTAAGGGTTTTCATTATCAAGTATTGCTGGATGTGATATCTCGGGTGCATTTGTTGATGTTATTCGCTCTCACGATCAGCTTCCCAATGATCATATAGCTAACTTGGTAGAATTTATTAGGATATTAGTTGATCACCTCGATGTACCTCGTCATATAATGCCTGTACTTGCTGAGATTTCGCAGAGTTCATTTTATGGTTTGTCATTTTTTCATGTTTTGTAGCTGAATTTTGAAACAATATTCAGACTAACGTTTTTCATCCATCACTGCAGTTTTTTATTGCCCATGTCAGTTTTTCCGCCTAATTTTCGTGATAATTGTTAGTATTTAATTACGTAAGTTTTTAGTAGCATATTTTATATGATGAAATAAAATTTGTTTTAGGACTTCGGCTTATTGAGCCCTTATTATTAATTCAAGAAGCTACTCTTTGCGCAATATATTATGGAAAGGACAGTGATGACCTGGATGCGATTCCATTTTACGTGTTAGAATTAGAAAATCATGTAAGTGTGTAGGTGATTCCTTGTGCTAGCAATTTTTTTTGTTCGTAGGAATAGTCACACTTGTTTTTCATTAGAATGGGGCTTGATTTATTCTATAGTTGTATTCTATATAATTTCTGGAGCTACTAAAACTTGGTTATGTTTAATGCTCGTTTACTTTTGCTTTTTCTCTCTGTATGCTTTTTCTCTCTCGTTTACTTTTGCTTTTTCTCTATGTATCTATGTATTCACTTTTTCAGTAGAGTACTATTTTGTATTCAGATTGCTGTCAAGTTATTGAGACTGTTTTGCGAACTTGCAAAAGAACACATAGAAAAGGAAATGATTGATTTACGTAGAAGTTGTTTGGTAAATAAGGTCGTAATCAAGTGAGTAATTTATCCTTTTTATGCCACGTTCCGGTCTAATTCTGCGATAATCATTAAATTAGTGTCTAGATATAATAATAAAAATGGTAGTATTCAAGTTACCAAATTACACGCAGTGCTTCATGCCATGTGAGGGAAATACTAGCATTTATTAATTAGGCCTTTATTTTCGTTCCGTAACATTCCTTATTCTTTGTTTCAGTGTCATTCTCTTCTTTAAGTTTCTCCATAATTGCTGACAGGTGTAGGTTTTTAAAAATCATGTGAAAGAAATATTACACGGTAATTATTAAGAATACGTTTATAGGGACCCAGCAGTGATTCCCGACAATATGATTATTAATCGTAAAATACGCGTTGAAACACAATTAATATACCTTTATATTGCAGCGGTTGTTCTATCTAATCACATTTTTGAAGTTTGTTGTGGTATTTTTGTAAAAGTTTTGAGAAAAGTTCTGTATTAAGGTTTAAAGTAGAAACTACATTTTTCAAAACTCAAATACTTGTAATGTCATAATTATGTGATATAAAATTCCAGTTACCGTCTTATTTGAAAATATTACTGGTGCAATTAGCCAATTTTTATATGGGATTAGAAACAATGAAATCGGGTCTCGCTTTTGATGAAGTAATGGATGAGGCAAATGCGCTGAAGCAATTTCATGATCATGAGATGGTAAAGTTTTGTAGTTGTACCAAAATTTTCTAAATAAATGTGTTGAAAAGTCAGGTAAATTTGTTCCATTTTTTAAATAGTTTTGAAAAAGTAAACTTCTTGTATTATATAAGCACATTTTAGAATTTAGGCAGTGCAGTGAAAAGCAGTGTTGCGTGTTCCACAAAAGCGCTTCAGTTTGTGCAAGGAAATAATTCAGGTTTTTCGTTGTTTGTAGAAAAGTGACAAACGAGGAATAGTCTTTTATAATGCAAGTTTAGATCAGTTTTCATGAATTAACTTGCTTTAAGGCTTTCAAAAGAAATGCTTGAGGACATCTCACGAACTGAAAGTTTATGTCTATCTGTTGCGTACTAATTGTCCTTTATATGACATCCTTTCGTTCTTAATTTATATAGTTTAGCCAGTAATTAGGAATTATTTTTAGTTCAATTTTTTGCTGTTTTATATTTATGCATTGACATTGCTACCTTAAACATATTTGACATCACTAAATGTATAAGTTAGTATTGTTACTTTTGTCTCTAAATGTGGATGTAGAAAGATATTCTTATTGTATTATTAATTCGTGTAGTCTTCATAATCACAAGCTCTTGTAGACTTTACTCAGCAGCTGACATATTATGCTATTTTAGTGAAAATGATTGAACTTTACTGCTTTCAGATTATTTAATTTTTTTCTTCTCAATATCGGTGTATAAACCACTTGAATTAACTCATTCACACCTAACTACTATCATTTAATGTTTCACTTTGCTTTCTACTCTAATTTCAATTTATTTGAAAAGTTTGTTCGCATACATTTTTTAGAAGATGCTTTCAAGTAGTTTGTTTTAGCTTTAAAGCCTTTGTAGTAGCGAGAAAATCTCTTCAATAACCGAATTTTCTGAGTAGCATAATGATTTCAGTATTTCAGTGTGAAATGAACATTTTTGTTAACTTATTTTTAGGCCTTGAGACTGTAAACGCCGATCAATTTCAGCAGTCAGTCAAACATCTTTCAGGAACAACTTCCAAGAATGATGCGCTATTTTTGGTAGACATTATTATCCGTAAATAATTTGGAGATGGTTCCATGACACTGATTTCCGTTTTGTTTTTTATAGTTTTCTGCTTAATTCCTTTTTATTTTTAACTACTAATCAAATTTTAAAATATTTCTTGGTTACTTATTACTCAGTCTTTTGTACTATTTCATGCGTTTATCTATTACTTCATTTTTTTCAGGCCGTTACTGAAATGATCCGCGATCAAACAACGTCAGAAATAATAGTTAATCATTTGAATAGAAGTGGGAAATGCGGTAACGAAAATTTGGGTTTTAAATCAAGACATCGAGTTGTGCCATCATTATTAAAAACAAGTGATACATCATCAATCGTAGGAAATGATGTATCTAGGGGTCGAGGTGCAAAAAGACGTCGTTGTAGACCACGAAAATAGTGCATGATATTAGGTATATAAATTCTCTATATTAGTCGTGAAAAGACAGTTGCAGACTTCTTAACTTTTTATGTTTTACAATTCTAGATTTTTCTATCCGATTTCTTAATCAGTGGTTTATATTTTTTAGTAGCAGACTTAAACAAGTTGCATAGAAGAATGTAGATATGCACTTAAAGATATCATGAATGATATTATATTCAGGTAATAGTGATCGAAAGTAATTTAATCACTCCTGTGGTGACTGCCGTGAAGTAATTTTCAAAACTGTGGTCATTTGGAATTAAGGAACTTTGATTTTATAGAATCTCAATTAAGTGTTGTAATATAATAGTTGCCAAGATATTAATTGACAAGCACTCTTGTACTGTCGCATAATTTTGTTCAGATTTGTTCACAAGCATATACCTCTGTTGAATTTTAACAAGCAGTGACAACTTGTTAAAATGGTACACAAAAGTCTTACATCAAGTTTTAGTGGTAGGGCAAATATCAACTTGCAAGAAGGCTTTTCTTTAAACACGAAAAAATTGGATAGAAAATGAACATAACTTAATTTTGAAAAGATGAATGTGTTTGTGCACTACTCTAAGGCGCTGTGTCGCTTTTAAATATGATTGCTTTATTACTGTCTTAATGTGCGATAGTTCCCGTTACACAAATTTTTAAGGGATGTTTTGTATGAAGAAGAAATGTTCTCTGTTTAGTGGAGTGTTTGTTTTGTGTTTAAATCATTGTGGTGTAGGTTGCTAAATATTACCGAAATAAACATGTAAAAATTGAAATGATTGAACATCATTGTTAAGGGGTAAATATATAATTGGCTGATATTTTGAGTTAGGCTGACAACTGTACTGTTAACACAAGCTTCGTAGATACAGCTTGTTTTAATTGACTTACTCATCTATATTTTGTTACCAATAACTCAAAGTAATGGCATTCTTTCACGAAGCAATAAATGATTAGTTGTATATGGTTGGTGATTTCTATCATGAGTAAAGTCAGTAAATGAAGGATTTGGTGCGAAGTGCTTGATGTTTTAGAATGAATTTTACTATGGGATGAGAAGAAAAAATGCATGTATGCTTCATTCACCTATAATGTACTCATTATCTGCAAAACTGATTACGAAGCGTACCTACAATTTCTGTTATTATTTTGTAGTGATAAGTTTCATTACAAGATTTCCCTATTGAAGAGCGGGCGCAATACTGTACATTTTTTTTTTTTTTTTTT